AGCTTATAGTTTTCTAGTGACATTGAGTTATAATGAGTTGCATTGATGGTATCGTTACATTCAGTTACATTGATTGTATTTTTCTCGCCTAGTTTACGAAGCTTGTAGTTTTATGGTTACATTCAGATAAAATACATATTATTTTGATGATAGCATTGCGTTGAGTTAATATATACAACTTACAACTGCAACTCTTTCTAAGTTTATGTTGTGTTAGACTATTTTTTAGATTAGTTGTGCCATGTGTACAATCAGAATTGACAATTAGACACATGAGAGGGGGTTACACTGAATAAAAAAATCGTGGAGCTTCCCTCTTGTGAGTACATTGTCAACCGGGGTTGAATACAAGAAGAATAATTCCTTTTACATAAGACCTTACTAAATTTTTACAATTAAGACTGACGCGCTCATATGAAAATTTCCGAAACACAAGTTATATTTCAAAAAGATTAATTCGATTACATTGACAGTTTATTTCGGAGATCATAACATCCAACATGATATAATAAATGATGAAGAACATCGAGCTAGTATCAGATACTTGACATTTCATTTTAATAACTTAAGTCGGAGAAATGATAAAATCTCATCCGTAATATTGATGTATGCACTTTCTAATGGCATCTGGAAGAAGCTAAAAATCCTCTTTCAATGATATACTAAAACACTACAAATTACTTGTAACAAATTATTTTGTGTACTTTTTGAATTATTCGTTTTTTTGCCCTTCATTTTATATTATAACAAAATTTAATTTCTATTATATCATTTTTATATCTTTTTATAGAGAAATTGCATTAATTTCTTTCCAACATTATTTATAAATCCTAATACCAACTGAAATTTTAACTAAACAATATGGCTCCGTGTAATATTTCGAAGAAATATAATGCGTCATGTACTTTAAATTTTTAATAGTATAGCATGTCACAAATCACGATACACACATATAGATGTTTTTTCAACTCGCCAATTTTTTTTCCTATAAATGTTAAGTAAAATATGGATCCTCAACCTTCATATGATAAGAGTTTACTAAACTCAAACAAGTAATTCGATTCAATTATACCTTAAATTTCAAGATAAGTGTTCTCTAACATAATACCATCTTATAGGATCATATTAAAATATGAATCTCATTTTTAATTGTTATAAAAATATTTATCAACATATAAAAATTTGAGTCGCGCCTTTTAATAAGTTTAGCCTTTTAAAATGAACCTCCAAATTATAATAATACGCCCACTGTCTCTGGGTTTCGATCAATGAATTTCTCAAATTAGACTCTTCTATAGCAACCAACTCATAACATCAAGGAAATTTATTTTAGTTTGGGCCATTTGGTAGTCATCATTTTTTGTGTAACTTAAAAAGTTGATAAAAAATTAAATTAAAGTCAACGATTAATTATGTAATTCATAACTTTTATCGAATTTTCAACAATATAAGAATTTTGTAAGATTTTTCTCTTTTCTCTTTTCATTATTTCCTCCATTTTTTCTACCCTTTTTTTTCTTATGATATGAAAATTATAAAAGAAAAGATTGATTTGTAATTAAATCTTTATATATTGGTTGCTTATTACATATTTGAATACATTGATAATATTGAACATTAAAAATTTATATTTTTCATCAAAGAGTATTAAAATGTTATGAATTTTTAATATTCTTTTAAAAAATATCTTTACTGATGTAATAAATATAATTTTGTTACTTTTTTTTTTCTGTATCATCTAATCACGCAAGTAGCAATTCAGAAATATTTTTATATCTTAGTGCATAAATAAATAATTCAATAAACTAAGGACGTGCAATAAATTATATACACATATAACTTTAGTGTGATGATGTTCACGTCTACAATTTTTATTTCTTGAGGTTTTTAATCTTTACTCATTGTAGCATTTATGTCTCAAACGATTTTTCATATCATTCTTATTATCAAGCTTTTCAGTAGTTAACACATTTTGTATATTTTATAAAAGCTTCATATCTAAAAGTCTGTTGAAATGATGTAAAACAAATTATTCTTCCATCATATTAAGAAATAATAAATAAATAAATAAAAAGTGTGAAAAAATATTTTTCCCTCATTTCAAAGCAAAACAAAATAATTTGATATATATCATCATCGATGACTAGACGTACAAATTAATGGAAGGTTGAAGATATGAATTCGATGAAAAAGTTAAAAAATAATTATTTCAGTGAGCAAATATTAAGGAGTATAACCTTAATTACAATGCAGTATATCAAATAAAAATTATGATGACAATATAACTATCCATAACTTTAATTAGCCCCTGTTTGGTACATATTTTTTCATTATTTGTAGGAAAAAAGTGACTGTTAGCCATCAAATCAGCCTACAATTTTTTATCTCAACACAAACATGCAGGCTCAGCTGGACAAACAACGGTCAAAAAATTTCTACAAATTTCTTGAATGCCGCAAACAAGGGCTCAAAACATTTTTATTTTCTAATGTCAAATGAATTGTCCTTGTTTGGTTTTGTACAATTTAGATTTTAAATATATTTTAATAAAAATTGATGACGTGTGTGGTTAGAAAGTTGATAAAAATTATGAATTTCAAAAAATGTGATGAGTTTAAAATTATTCGTCAACTTTGACTTAAATAATGTCAACTTTTTAGCTAAACCAAACAAGGGCTATTGAAGTCTTTAAAAATCTTTGAAAAACTTTCATGGATTATTTAGAATTCTATAAAAATTAATAAAAGTTCATTAAATTGCACCAAAGGGTAATTATATTCACATTATAGTTTTTATTATTCTCAACACATTTTAATTTCACCAGAAAGTTCTCAATTTTTGTATTTTTAAATTGTATCCCTACATTTTTCTGTCACGTTTTTATCGTTAACATTCAATTAAACTAGTACGTCTTATGTTATTTTTTAAACTTTCTTTTTGTTTTTTATTTTGTTAATTTAAAAATAAACGGCGTGGTAAATAAGCCTTTTACGACATTTTTTGGACAAAAGTATTAAAGATAGGATGTGCAAATTAATATAAGGTTGAGATAAAAATGTGAAGAAAAAAAGTTGACATAAGTGCAGAATTGAAAAAGAGTAATGTTATTTGTAGTCATCCTATATAAAATATATATGATTGTCAATGATTTGATACGTTAATGTGGTAGCTTTTTATTACCTTATGCAACAGTCACTAACCGCTACATATATACCACCGAGAACGACTGAGGTGGAGAGCGATTGCAAATAACATTATTCAATGAGCAATGTTTAAAATGTCCATTGCAATTAAAATTTAGTATAGCTAATAAAAATTTTGGTATGAATATAATTGCTCTTCTATAAAAGTAATTCACTTGAAAAATCTTTAAAAGTCTAAATTGTATACAATCTCCTAAATGCAATTGCATCGATCTAGTTAGAATAGTGTTGGCTTGAACGAGTCTTTAAAAAATATGTCGCAATCTTATTTTCACTTTTTTTTATGATTAGAGGGCCGAAAATACTTACTTGGAATTATAACAAGAAACCAACCTCTTATTCTTCCGAAATTGCATCTATGAAATTTAAAGGATCCATTTATCTAGAATTGATATATAACACTATAATGTACTATAGTAAAATTCAGAAAAAAATGTAAAATCAAGAATCGGACTGAAATTCTAAATTCTTAAACTTATTTAGTGACTTTGACATTTTACGTTCCCAGAATAGGTACTACTGGGTATGGTGAATTTAATAATAAACGTTGATTGGCATTCCAACCTTCAATCTCTTCCAAAATGACGAGGACCAAATAAGAACCAGAGAAATTCGTTGAAGAAGATCCTTTTCCTCATTTTTCAAAAAGAAGTAAGGACCCAAACAAAATTGACGAAACAGAAGACAACCGAGTGAATGGAAAGGAAAAACAAAGTATAAATTCCACTTTCGATTTACAGAGATGGACTCAAAATATTTCAATTTATGAATATTCTTATCGATTTGATTAATAATGGAAGAACTTGAATTAGTATCTAAAATTCAATTCAAATATGGGTTTGATTCACAATCCATATTCAAGGAAATATTTACCATCCAAAAAAATGAAAAAAAACGGAGTTTTTGTCTAAGGAAATGTGTTGAGAAAGGACGGACGTATAGAAGAGATAGTGTTTTTTTGAACTCTTTAAAATAGAATATAATGTTTGTTTGAGCCCCATTCTTTCGGGTAAAAAATAAAATTTTAAATAGTATTTTGACATCATTTCAATCACACATTTTTTAATATAATAATATTAACCGTCAAATGTACCCATTCCAAATTTCAGTTCAATCAAATGATCAGCGACTGCCAATATGTATAAGACTCCTCCTCCAAATGAAATCCAATGGGATCACATCAAGTGTGCTGGGACTAGATAGAAATGAGAACTCCAATAATTTCTTTGTTAACCACAAATTTTTCATCAATATGCTATTTAAAAATTCATTATTCCTCCAAAATGGGGCTCAAACAAGAGCCTATTCAAAACATATATGCTGATGTTCATTACTTAGACAGGATACCCGCTAATATGCCCAATGTCCCCGCCCTACTTCAAGACGACGAGATGTTATTCCTTTTGAAACAAAAGGATCAATGAACTTTATTAGAATTGAACTGAATCGATACGTTCTAATTTGATTCTGTTCAATTTTATGTTTCTAATAACTTTTGTTCACATCTAATCTCAACAAAATTCACTGCTCGCTTGATATTGAGTTTTTCCCATTCTATTACTCGTACCTGAAATTATATTTTCAAAATATTGAGTTTTCCCCCATTCTTTTTTGTAGTTTTTTGTACAAATTTTGCTACTTATGCATCAAAATTGTAAATAAGGGAATACATAATATGATGTGGAAGAAAAAGATTTAATGAAAAAGTTAACTGAATTTTAAACAAACAAATGATAGTGTCATGTGTCATTATATGATACATTATGTAACTCTCGATGCATATGTAGCAAGATCCCTTCTTACCAATGGTCACCGACAACTGAGTGGCGGGTCACTCAACTGAGCAGCGAGTCACCCAACTCGCTTGCACCTCTATATCGGAGTCACGTAGGCATCTTGAGGAAATGGGTTGATTGATTTTCTTCAAACAAGGCAATCAATTGTACTTCGAGTTTGTGATTTCGTGAATCTAAATCTATATCCATCTACTCGAGAAATTAAACCAAAAGGAAAGAAGAAAATGTCAGAACCCTCGTCATCAAGAATAATTTTCAGATATTTCCAGCTCATTGCATTGAAATCCTCGCCAAATAATCTAAACATCGTCCAAATTCTCACGTTTCGTACTTCGCTATTAATTTCTTCGAGAACCCATTTCTCATCATCGCCCAATGTTGCAAGAATTTTCGACAAACTGTACCCAAATGCGGAATTTTCGCCGAACAGAAATTTTATTGGGTTCAGATACTTTTCTTTAAAGAATGCAATGGGTTCCAAGAATTTGGTAAAAGATGCGGCAAATCCAGCAGTGGCGGTTAAGGACACTTTTTTGTGGTACAAAGAGGCCTTCTGGAAGAGAAATTATCTGATGTTGCTGGGTGCAGGTGGGATCGTGGTAAGCATTCTTGCTCTTTCATCACGTTTGCTGTGAGTTTTTTACAATTTGTATCTGATTCTGCTCTATATTGTTCATTTAATTGTTCAGTGTATTACATGCGAAGCAGTTACTGTTGCGTAAGCCAATTTATTGAGGAGCATATTAGCAATTAAGTTACGGAAATTTTTTATTGGCTTTCTCATTGTGAATCAAAAATTAGAACTCACATTCATTTTGAAACAGGCTTCTCTGAATTCTGTATAACTTTTAATGTTTGAATGGTGATATACTGATGATTGAATTATGATCAATTGACTCCTCGACCAATTTACGTCTATCTCAATTGAAGCAGACTATTTTTGGGAATTATCCATTTCATTTATGCACTGGATGGCGGACGCCGCTTGAGACTGCAATATTTTAGCATGTTGTGTACAGCAGAGGAGATATTCTGTGCCCTGATTCATGTTTGTATCCTTTTATAAGGGGGAAAAATTCACTGAAAAATCATAGATAGTCTTGCTTGATATTCCAAGCTCCTTTGATATTGTAAAGAATTTCCATATAGAATCATCACACCTTCTTTTTTTTGGAAGAAATTGATTGTAAGATGCTAAAAGTTATGATTCAACTATGCCTTCTTTTACATTTATCCTGGTTCTTTCACCTGTATATGCTATCTACCATTCTACTGTAGCTTAAAGAAAGCTCTTTCGTACAACAAATCAAAATAGGAAATTGATTGTGATCCGCAAAAATTATGATTCGACTGCATTCTTTATTTTACATTTATCCTGTCTCTTTTACCTGTTTATCTCCCATTCTAACGTAGCATGAAGAAAGCTCATTTATCCAACAACCGAAAAAAGGGAAGCATAACAATGGTCAAAATATGAGTGGCGAGGCATGGTTTCCCTTTGGCCTTCTGCATTAAACTTGTCGCGATTAAATAGATCGAGGCAAAAAAAGGAAATTTGTGGAGAGAGTGGAATCCATAACATTTTAATGGGATTTATCTGTTCGAACAGTGAGATAATTTAATAGAATCCCCTGCATAACCCTTTTCGTGAAATGCTATTTCAGCATGTCACAGTTGTCACTTACCGAGTTATCCTGATTCTGAAGTTGTTCAGTTCTAATAGACTAGACAGGTCTGCTGACTTCTAGGTTTAATGGCTGTCAAGGTTAGTACTGGTAAATGATGTGGAATCATATCTAACTTTCCTTCCAATGAGATTTTGTGGAACTCACTTAGCACTGTTGGTAGGGTATTCAGTTTTATCTTTTCCCGTAATATAATCATAAATATATTTGCTTATTTTCTCCTTTAAGGGCTTTTATTTTCGTCCAAGAATCACAATTAATCCCAATGAGGTTTATAAAATGGCCATAAGGAAACTAAATAATCTGCTGGAATCCTCGTGTTTATGGGTGCTCCCATAGGACAAATGTGAGTGTATATGTGATGTCAGGATGTTTTATTACACTTGAGAACTTCTGGTGAGATTTAGAAGCCAAATATGTTATTTTATTTTTTCAATACAAGATTCGGAGAGGAAGAGATAGTAGCTGTTGAAGTTATGAAGAAGAAAGAACAGGTTTTCCTCTGTACTGGCTGCTTATGTATTCCTTTACACGAAGCAACTTTGTCTGTATTTGAGGGATTGGCTGCATTGATTTCTCTTGCTTTCTGAATGTCCTTGTGCAAGTCATCGGAGGTTGTAATTGTAGTCAAGAAAACTGTTGCATATGTCTTGTTAAGACTTGTTTTTCAACCGTGGTGTAACAGTTATTCCTACATGATAGGGGTTAAAGTAGTTTAAATTTTTCTGGAGAAGCCAGATGCCATTAAATATAAGATGCAGTTAACATTGCTCTCAATTTTCTTTCTGCAGTTTGATATGCAATTATTGGGATGAAGAGCATGACCGGCTGGAATACTGAAAGGGAACTTCAAAAAGCAGAAAGCAAGCAAGCAAGCACCCAGAAGAAACTGATTCACTGCAATTTCCCAATAGTTCTCATTTTTTTCTTGTTCTTTGCAATGAAAGGTTAGGTCCTTGATCTTCGAAAGATGTATTTGACGTGCGGGTAAAAGGTCATACTTCGTCTGTTGCGCTGTAGTTATTATCCTATCAACTTTTTGCTTGTCACACTTTAAATTGAAGAGAAACTATATGTTGTATACTCGTGTTAGTGCTCAACTATCTCTGTCGAATGCAAAGACTTGACGTCTTGACCTAGTCGAGAATACGAGTATCCAACAAGAAGGTTTTTTTAAATGGGTAAATTACAGTAAATGTTCTTAACTTTTACAGTTCGTCTCCAACCTTTGATAAATATTCTTCTTCTTTACATCACTGCATCCCCATTTTTTACAGTACAAGGAGGATCTCTCTGGTCTTTTGCCAAATATGGCACTGAACATTTTTGGCAGAATCCGAGAGGTGAGAAGTTCCCGCATTCTGGGTTTTATTGCTGAACATGGGGGATTTCTCACCCATTTTCTGCCATTATTGGCAACTTTTATTTTTGGGTTCTTTCCTTGTTTATGAATATAGTTTCTTTCATATTTTAATTAAAAATAATGAATCATCATTTTATTTTGTTTTTTTAGTTTTTTTTTTATTATTATTATTTTTTTTAATGGCCCAAGGGGTTGACTAACAGAGAATTGGATGTCATCCATTCATTTAGAAGAACGTCGCCAATTATCAAAGGCTGGGAATCCAAGAGATTGGGGACGTAAGTGCAAAAGTGAGTAATGGTTGGGTACATTTCAATTCATCATTTTAAAATTAGCTCTAAAGTACTTATCCACTTATGATGAAATACATGTTGACGTTTTTGAGGATAAGTAATTAGCCTCTCTGTTCGTATCTCTTTTTCGAATTTTGGTCTTGATTGGTTCATAAAATTGAATGGTCAATCCTTCCCTGAAATCTCTATTCGATTCTTCTACAAGATATGGGTATGCAAGCCATGTTTCAAGAAAGGTAGGAGAATAGAAGAAATCATATTTTCATACAATATCTTAATTGAATTATATGTAATGATCAATAAATTAAGTTGAATTATATCCTTTGATAGGAGCTTTCTATCCTGGCCCTAGATATGAGTCTCGCTCATCCACTCCAACAAGAAAGGATCAAAGGATTGAGAGCAATGAAGTAGGCGAAGTACTGATTAGATTTTGAGTTGTCTAAACAAGTAGTATACATGATTTCAAGAGTTGAACAAGAATGAATATCATATAAAAGAGTTAACACCAGTCTTTTCTTCTGGCATTCTAACATTTGTATGATTTATATTAAAATTATTTTTTTAATAAATTTTGATAAAAATTGATTGAAAGATTAATAAAAATTATAAATTTCAAAAAATATGTGATTGAAAATAAATTGGAGAAAATGAAGCCAAATGGGGGCTCAATAAATCTCCCATGAGAGCTTTTTCTTACCTTGCCATAAACAAAGAATGTAAGCCTTCATTCTTAATAGTAATAGTTCCAAGCATGTGAGCTCAGCTTATACATAACGTTGCGAGGAAAATTATAGACATGAACAAGGAATCTTCAAGCACCCCGATCTTTTGTCTCACACGTGTCTTCTAAAATGTCATGTGTCGTCTTCAACTTGTCCAGTGACACGTGGTACAAACCCATTACATCCCCCAACTCTAATCTATATAAATCCATGAAGTATATTCCAACTTCCACAATATCATATTGAATTATGGAAACTGTTGAGAATATCGGAAGAAACCACCAAAACCGGTTGCTGATGTGGAAGAGTTAGTTAGATTAGTTGATTTTCTATTAATGCCCAACTGTAAACAACTGTATAGAATTTGATTCTTTCATTCTCTATTTAAGGACCACCTGATGTACATTTCACGTGAACTTTTATCTTCAATACAAGAATTTTTTCATACTCATCTATATTTCATACTCTCTCAGATCTAGATTGTAGTATCTGTTAGTTCAATCTCAAGATGGTATCAGAGCATAATGATGCTTCTGCTTCAGCTCCTTAGCCTTTAGTTTCTGATCCTCCTGCTTCAGTTCCTGCATCTGCAGCAAAAGCAGAGGACGTTTTCAGTCCCTTTTTTCTACATCATGGAGATAGTCCTGGTCTCTTGATCGTTTCTCAGTAGTTGAATGAAGACAACTATGCATCATGGAGTCGATCTGTTGAAATGGCTCTGAGTGCCAAAAACAAGCTGTGTTTCATCGATGGATCCTTAAGCAAACTTGATGAAGGCGATCCGGTCTTTCCAGCTTGGAAGAGGTGCAATCATATGGTTATTTCATGGCTTTTGAACTCCATTTCCAAAGAACTTGCTCCTAGTATCCTGTAAATTGATACTGCTGCTGCTATTTGGTCTGATCTTAAGGAGAGGTTTTCACAAACTAACGGACCACGTATCTTTCAATTGAGGAAGACAATCACTTCTCTAACACAAGATAAATGTTCAGTAAGTACATATTTCATTAAACTGAAGACACTTTGGGATGAGCTTGGGTGCTATAGACCTGTTCCAGCCTCTTTGGTGAAGTTTCAGCAGAAGGAATATGTCATGCAGTTCCTGATGGGCTTGAATGTGAGTTACTCTCAGATTCGAGGTCAAATACTATTGATTGATCCATTACCACCAATTAACAAAGTCTTTTCTCTAGTTGTACAAGAGGAGAAGCAAAGAGAAATTACAGCTAGCATCACACACAATCTAGATTCTGTTGCTATGGTTGCTAAAAATTTCAATAGAAATCTTGCCCAAGCTGCTAATGAAGGAAGGAACAATTACACTGGATAGAACAATAAGAAGGAGCGTCCTCAATGCAGTCACTGTGGTCTTCTTGGCCACAAAGTCGACAAATGCTACAAAGTGCACGGATATCCACCAGGATATAAGTTTAAAAACAAGAATCCTGTGGTTCATGGAGTTGCAAATCAAGTGGAATATGCTCATGATGTTGACACTGATCTTGCGCAATTCTCATTTACTAAGAATCAATATCAATAGTTGCTAGCCTTGATTCAACCCACTAATGAAGCATCTTTGCCATTCACAGGCACTCGCACCATCAATTCTCAAAATGCAAGCACCTCTGGTTCACAAGAGCATGCCTTAGCAAATTTGGTAGGTACATCATGGTTTTTGCCTCACAATGCATCAGTATTTAGTCAGTGCTTTTCATCTAAATCATATAAAGGTTCTGAAATTTTAAGTGTGAATTATGAATGGATTCTAGACACCGGTGCTATAGATCATATGGTGTGTTCAGTTTATTTACTCACAGAAATCACAGCTACAGTTTCACAATTTGTTAAGCTTCCAAATGGTAGTTTAGCAAAAGTTACACATATTGGTTCAGTTAGACTTTCAAACTCGATTGTTCTGGAGAATGTTCTGTGTGTGCTATCTTTTGCATTCAATCTGGTTTCAGTCAGTTGCTTGCTTAAAACAGTCAGATTTGCTCTCATTTTATTGTGCTTTATACAGGACCTATGCTCATGGACGACGATTGGTCTGGCTAAAGAGAGAAATAGTCTATTCTATATGCTGAATATCACTTCCCCACAACCTAAACATTTTGTTAATTCTATAACATCCACAATTTCTGATTTGTGGCGTCTTAGGTTAGGTCATCCATCTTTGCAACGCCTAAAAATGTTGCAACCTGTCATTTCAAATTTGAATGTAAATACTATACATCAATGTGACAATTTCCCTATGGGTAAGTTGCACATATTACCCTATGTTTCTAATGAAATAAAGAGTTCTGCTCCATTTGATCTAGTACATGCTGATCTATGGGGTCCTTTCTCTATTACCGCTATTGATGGTTTAAAGTACTTTCTAACTCTCGTTGTTGACTTTACTTGATGTGTATGGACTTGCTTGTTAAAATCTAAAACACAATCTGTCATTCCAGCTTTCTTCACTTTAATTGAGACACAATTTAATCTCAAGATAAAGTGTGTTCACTCGGATAATGGTTCAGAATTTCACCTTAGAGATTTTTTTACATCTAAAGGTGTTATACATCAAAAGATTTGTGTTGAATCACCCCAAAAAAATGGGGTAGTCGAAAGAAAACATCAACGTATATTAAATGTTGGTAAAGCCTTTCGTTTTCAAGCAAATTTACCTCTTAGTTTCTGGGGTGAATGTATACAAACTACCACTTACATCATCAACAGACTTCCCACTCCTTTGCTTCATCGAAGATCCTCCTTTGAAGCCCTTTTTTCCCAAAAACCAGATTACTCTCATTTCAGGACTTTTGGTTGCTTATGGTTTGCTTATACACTCACTAGAAATCAATCAAAGTTGGATTCTCGAGCAACCAAATGTATCTTTCTTGGCTATCCATATTTTGTCAAGGGCTATAAACGCTTCGATCTTCATACTCAAGCTGTCTTCATATCAAGAAATGTTTTATTTTATGAAGAAACCTTTCCATACAAACAACTCCCTTTAAATCATGATGACCCATTTGTCTTACCTAATCCAATTCCAGAACCTTCATTTCGCATTTTTCCTTCCCATATGTCTCCTATATCTGAAAATGTTTCACCAAACACTTCACCAGATCACCAAAATAACCCTGTTCCTCCACCAGAATATCATACAGCTTCACATGACATAAACCCTCCTCTGAGAAGATCCACAAGAATTAAACAAACCCCCTCTTATCTTCAGCATTATCATTGTCATTTGGCTCAAAATTCTCTTAACAGATCTGGTCAGTCCACAAGCAAGGTTCTTTCAAGCTTAAGCCCCAGCTGTGATATCCAAAATTATCTTGCTTATGATAGACTTTCATCTTCTCATCGAGCATATGCTCTTAATATCCCTAACATGACTGAGCCTCAAACTTTTGATCAAGCTGTAAAGGATCCTAACTGTTTTGATGCAATGACTAAGGAAATTAAAGCACTTGAGGATAATAACACGTGGACAATCACTCGTTTACCCCCTAGCAAAGTCCCCATTGATTGTAAATGGGTGTTCAAAATGAAGTTGAAAGCTGATGGGTCTTTGGAAAGGTATAAAGTCAGATTAGTTGCTAAGGGCTATACTCAAAAAGAAGGTTTTGATTATCTTGAAACCTTTTATCCAGTGGCAAAGCTTACTTCTGTGAGAGTCCTTTTGGCTGTAGCTACTGCTAAGGATTGGACTCTTTTACAATTAGATGTCAACAATGCATTTTTACATGGTGATCTAAATGAGGAAATATAAATGAAAATTCCTCCTGGTCTTGACAGCAAAGGGGGCAGTATGGTATGCAGGCTCAACAAGTCTTTATATGGTTCAAAACAAGCCTCTAGGCAATGGTTTACTAAGTTCTCAAATTTTTTGTTAAAGGAAGGCTTTGCACAGTCCAAATCTGATTATACACTTTTCACTAGAAATAGAAATGGCTCTTTCATTGCTCTACTAGTGTATGTGGATGATATTGTATTGACAGGAGATGATTTACAAGGCATGAATGATTTGAAGGCTTCTCTTGATGGGCAATTCAAGATAAAAGATCTTGGAACATTGAAATATTTCCTAGGACTGAAGGTGGCTCGGTCTAAGAAAGGAATTTTTTTGTGTCAAAGAAAAATTTGCTCTAGATATTTTAGAAGATGCTGGTTTTAGTGGTGCCAAACCGGCAAACACACCAACGGAGCAAAATGTTAAACTGAATAGAGAAAGTGGAGAACTGTTGAATGATGCATCACTTTACAGGAGGTTAGTATGACAGCTGCTGTACTTAACCATTACAAGGCCGGATCTGAGTTATGTGGTTCAAGTGTTAAGTCAGTTTATGAACCAACCAAGGGAACCTCATTTGGATGCAGCTTATAGGGCACTAAGGTACATCAAGAGCACGCCAGGACAAGGGATTTTCTTCCCTAAAGACAATGACTTAAGGCTGAAGATCTTTTCAGATTCAGATTGGGCCAGCTGCCATGATTCAAGAAGATCCACAACTGGATATTGTACTTTTATGGGAAATGCTCTAATATCCTGAAAATCTAAGAAGCAAAATATGATTTCCAGATCTTCAGCAGAAGTTGAATACTGTACAATGGCATCAACAACGTGTGAAATACAATGGCTTTTATATCTGCTGGCTGACTTGGGGATTAAACATGAGAAGCCTGCATTGTTATACTGTGATAATCAAGCTGCATTACACATTGCTGTCAACCCCGTATTCCACGAAAGAACAAAACGTACCGAACTAGATTGTCATATTGTGAGGGACAAGATTAAGGCTGGAATTTTGCACACTATGCATGTCTCTTCAAACAATCAACTAGCAGATATTATGACAAAACTAGTGGAAGCATCTCCGTTTCATTCT